TGTATTAGTCTAGGTACTTTAGAGAAACAAATCCACAGCAACTCATGTATGAGAGTTTTCACTTTTCCTGTATTTGATTATTTCCCTTTGCTCCATTGTTGAGTTCTAATTTTATAGCATCATGATCTGAGAAAGTGGTTTGTAATATTGCAAAGTTTTAAAATTGATAAACATTTGCTGTGTGTCCTAATTTATTGTCTATTCTGGAAAATGTTCTATGTGAACTGGAAAGAAATGTGTATTGAATTGTTACTGGATGTTCATATCTAAAAGGTCAAGTTGGTTATGTTTTGTAGTTCTTTTATGTCTTTACTGAATTTTTTTATTTGTTCTGACTTTTTAGAGTGGTGTGTTGAAGTCCCTATTATTATTGTAGATTATCTATTTCTTTCTTTAAGTCTGTAAGAGTTTGATTAATGTATTTTGAGACTCTTCAATTGGATGCATATATATTTATTTTAATTATGTCTACTTGTTCAATAGTCACTATAATCATTATGCAATGCCCTTCTTTGTCTCTCAAAATGGATTTTGTCTTGGAGTTTATCAGAAATGAATATTGCTACACCTACTTTACAAAATTGCCAGTAGCATGATGTATTTGCTTCCATCTATTGATTTTTAGATTATTTTTATGCTTTGGTTTGTATCTAAGGTGTGTTTCATATAGATTGATCCGTACTGTTTTCTAATCAATTTTGTTGCTTTGCCACTGGAGTGGTCCATTTATATTTGTCACTCTTGATGTGTGGTTTTCTTGCTATCATTTTTACTGGTTTCTTTTTTCCTCATAATTTTCTGTTCTGAGCTCGTTTTTCTTTGCTATTCTTTTAACGAATGAGGTCTTTCCATTTTTCTTGAGGTTACTGTTTTGTTTTTTTTGAGGTTACTATGTTATTCTCCGAAGCCCGACCCCATCCCGTTGTCTCTCTTGTATCTGTATTTTGTCTCCATTAGAATATTTTGTAACCACACAAAAACTTCTATTGTTTTATAATTGTCTTCATTGTAGAATGATATGCATGCCTCCCTATTTTGAATTTTTTTGTGTGTACTGCCAAAATTGGTTTGATTTCTGAGTAGTGGTGTCTTATGTTACTCTTAGATTGATGACTTCTGCAATTGTTCATTCCAAAGAACTCTACTTTGAAATTTTTAAAGTTTAGTCTTGTTTTTGCAAATATATTTCATTTATTCTCATCTGAAGTGCCCTCATATTTGAGGAATAATTTTACTGGATATAAAATGCTTGGTTTTTTCCCCCTCCGGCTTTTTTTTTTTCTTTTAAAAATCACTTTATTGGGGCCTCTACAACTCTTATTACAATCCATCCATCCATCCATTGGGTCAAGCACATTTGTACATTTGTTGTCCTCATCATTCTCAAAACATTGTTTTTCTACTTGAGTCCTTGGTATCAGCTCATTTTCCCCCTTTCTCCCCAGGCCCCCTCCCTTACAAATCCTTGATAATTTATAAATTATTATTTTGTCGTTTTACACTGTCTGATGTCTCCCTTCACCCACTTTTCTGTTCATCCCCCAGGGAGGGGGTTGTATGTAGATCTTTGTGATCGGTTCCCCCTTTCTACCCCACCCTCCCTCCACCCTCCAGGTAACACCACTCTCACCATTCGTCCTGAGGGGTTCATCAGTCCTGGATCCCCTGTTTCCAGTTCCTATCTGTACCAATGTACATCCTCCGGTCTAGCCAGATTTGTAAGGTAGAATTGGGATCATGATAGTGGGGGAGAGGGAGCATTTAAGAACTGGAGGAAAGTTGTTTCATTGTTGCTACCCTGCTCCCTGACTAGCTCATCTCCTCCCTGTGTTCCTTCTGTAAGGGGATGTCCAGTTGCCTACAGATGGGCTTTGGGTCCCCAATCCTCACAACTCCTCATTCATAATGATGTGATTTTGTTGTTCTTTGATGCCTGATACCTGATTCCTTTGACACCTCGTGATCACACAGGCTGGTGTGTGTGCTTCTTCCATGTGGGTTCTGTTGCTTCTGAGCTAGATGTCCGCTTCTTTACCTTCAAGCCTTTAAGACCCCAGAGGCTGTATCTTTTGATAGCCGGGCATCATCAGCTTTCTTCACATTTTCTTATGCACCCATTTGTCTTTGGCAATCATGTTGGGAAGGTAAGCATTATGGAATGCCAGTTTCATAGAACAAAGTGTTCTTGCATTGAGGGAGTACTTGAGTGGAGGCCCAATGTCCATCTGCTACCTTAATACTAAACCTATAAATATATACACATAGATCTATTTACCCCCCTTTGTGTTTTATATATTGCCTTCTTGCCTGCATGTTTCCTACTGCAAAATAAATGAATAAATCCAAACTTCTTATTG